TAAAACATTTTAAATTTGTATGTTTTTGTACCAGGGTCTTGTAGCTGAGGATGACTTTGAATTCATGATTCTCTTGTCCATAAGTGCTGGTGTGCCCTACTGTGCATGGCACTAATTACTTTTAAAACATTTCCTTTTTGTTGTGAAAACAAGGTATGCATTAGTATATATGTTCCAGGAAGGAAAATAAATGAAGTCATTAGAATTACAAATGGCAGAGCTGGTCAGGCCTTGTTTCTTAGAGGGCTTACAGTGGAAGTCCACATTTCTGAGTGGCACGGTGCCTGTGGGTACAGTTCTCCATTTTCTTCCCCCTTGTCCTTTTAATCACTACCATGAAGAGTGTTTTCTTTCTTTAGATTGTTAGAGTTTAGAAAGTCCATGAAGGAGAATTCATTATATTGCAGTAGCCTGTGGTAAACTAGATGGTATCTAAGATGCTGGGAGGAGCAGCCAGACCCTACATGGAGACAGATCCTTTTAGTTTTCTGACTTTTTGTTAGCCACTCAAGGGTATGAGATGCAGAGTTCTAGGCATAGCAGTGTGGTAGACACTAATCCTGTTGGCTCCTCAGGTGTCCACAGAATAACCTTTGGATATACGGCTTATTGTGCTCCTCTTTTCCCCACGCAGATACTACAGTTCTCATCACACAGGGCACGAGGGAGAGGAGAGGAGAGGAGAGGACAAGAGGTGTCTACTGGGGTGGGAAGTCAGGACTTAGGAAATACCTAGCAAGTAAGGTGTTGGCTTGACACCAGGCTGACAGATACATGGATGAGGAACTAGCTTTCCATCACTGGGGAGCCTGGGTATTGAAAGTGAGAGATGATGTCAGTTTCTGTTTGAGAATTTCATTTGTCAAGAAATGTGAAGCTAACTGCACTAGCATAAAGAACAGATTTGAGTGCATGGGTATAAGGTGTGTGCCTAGTGGGCTTGTGTGCTAATCCACTGAGCAGTAAGGCTTCTAGTTGTCTGTGGTTGTAACACTAGAGATTAGTCCTATTCCTAGGTGATGAAGTTCTATTTTGCTTGGTTATTAAGCAAAGCTAATTTCCTGTCTTACCTCATTTGTCTACTTCCCATCCTCCACTTTCTTTTCTTTGAGACAGGGTTTCTCTGTAGCTTTGGAGCCTATCCTGGAACTAGCTCTTGTGGGCCAGCTTGTGGGCAGAACTCAGAGATCCGCCTTCCAATTGCTGGAATTTAAAGGCATATGTCACCACCACCTGGCTCCATCCTCTGCTTTCAAAGGGGACTTCAGATATTTTTTTGGTTGTTTTTCCAGAGTTCTTGGAATGCATGTTCAAGCATATATATGTTGTAGTTTTATTCTCCCTTGATTACACAAAAACACAAAAGTAAAATCCTCTGCTACTATTTGCTATTTTCTTTTTCACCTAATACATACTGAAGAGTTCTGTTTCAGAATGTTCAGGCTCTTTTTTTTTTCTTTCTCTGGATAATGTTTCGGGGGAGCACGTGCGAGCCAGAGGTCAACACTGGGTGTCTTACATAAGTCTTCCTATCATTGTGAGACAGGGTAACTCAGCGAATGTGGTACTAACCGTTTTGGATAGGCTGACTGCCCAGTCACTGAGCCCAGCTTTGTAACACGAGACCCTCATGTTTGCACAGCGAGCACTTTATCCCCAGAACTTTCTCCCCTGTTTTTTGTTGCTTTTGAAAAATACTCTGTTTATCTGTATGAATGTTTGCCTGAATGTGTGTCTGTGCACCACATGGGTTCATTGCCCAAGGAAAACAAGAAGAGGGCATCCAGTTCTCTGAGACTAGAGTTATAGGTGGGAATCCTGGAAAAGTAGCCACTGCTCTTAACTGCTAAGCATTTCTCAGGCCACCTGTTTTGTTTTTTCACGAGCGTGCAGTATTGTTTTAAAGATCTCGTATAAATTATTTAGCCTTCGTCATTTCCTTTTCCAAATTGTTAAAATAAATACCCCTGTAGAAATATGAATCTGGGAGTTCAAGAAGTGGCTTAGTCAGAAAAGAGCTTGCTGTGTAAGTATGAAGACCCGAATGTTACCCAAGCACACAGCGTGTGTCCTTCGACACAATTTGCAATCTCAGCCAGGGTAGATAAAGACAAGAACTATCCTTGAGTCTGTTGGCTGGCCATAGTAGCCCAGCCTCTAGCTACAGGCCCAGTGAGAGGCGTTCCCAAAAGCAAGGTGAAGAAACTCTTGAGGAGAGCATCATGACTTACCTGGCTGTACACACACAATAATTATAAATTTTGCATGTTTACAGGTATATTTATGAAGGAAATTCCAGGAACTGAAATTGTTGAATAAATTTATTATAAAGGTAGTTTTGATGAACCAAACTGCTCTTGAGTAGACTTTGATGGGATCGGAATTGTGTCTGTGATGTCGGTGAGCCTTCATGTACTGAGGCTGTCCTTTTGACTCAGCTCAAACAGTCCTCATGCTTTACTGGAGTCAAATGCATAGGAGTGAGCCTGTGTTTACATTGCCAAAGGTTTCCCAGGTGTGTGCAAACACATGCACCTTTGTTCAATATCTAGTGCTGGCACCCCAAGTCCATGGTTTGATGTGGATAGTTGGCATAAATAAAGGTTTTGTTTGTTTGTTCGTCCTTTTGAGGCAGGGTTTCTCTGTGTAGCCCTGACTACCCTTGGGTTCACTTTGTAGATCAGGCTGGCCTCTAATTTTAGAGATCCACCTGCCTCTGCTTCACAAGTACTGGGATTAAAGGTGTGTACTACTGCCACCCGGCTGACTTAAAGTTTTAAAAGAGATGGGGTGTGTGCGCATGCACAAGGTAAAGATCTAAAGTTGACATGGTGTGACTTCACTCAATGAACCAGGAGCAACTTGTGGATTGCCTCCGCACCTGCTTGGCATCTATGTGTGGGTTTTGATTGTCTGCGTGGCAGTCCTTATCAAAGGGTTTCTCCACGGAGCTGTCTCCTCAGCCCCAGATACCTCATTCTTTTTGTGTTGTGATCACTAGTAAAGCTAGGGAAGGTGATGATTGGAAAGAAGTCTTGTGTAGGTTGGGTTTTTTGGCAGTTTGGCCGTTTGCAGAGCAGAGTAATTTTGGAAGTTCAGCTGCAATTTTCTTTTTCCATAGACATCACTGGAAATTGAAGGCAAAGGGATCTCTTAGTATTGTGTATAACGGGAGCAGTCTCACCATTTTAGGTACACAGGAAACGTGTAACCTTTAACAGGCATGGTGACAGTAGAGTTGAAAATACTCTCACAGCCAGAGAGAGAATAAAAGAATGAACAGCTGATAGGTTGTTGTAGGGGAGGACAGGACAGAGCTCCTAGCAGGCCACTTGAGTTGGAGTCTCTGCTTCTGTGTAAGAGTCAAGTAAATAGTGGGGGCAGGGATTGGCCAGAAGATGGCCCAGCCGGTAGAGTGCTTAACCATCAAGCTTGATGGCCTGGGTCTGTTTGATCTCCAGGTCCTACATGATAGAAAGAAAAAGCTGAGGCCTGTAAGATGTCTTCTGACTTCTGCAGTCACGCTGTGGTGTTCTCCATCCACCAAATAAATTAATTTTCAAGATTGGAAAAGGGGGGAAAGAACTTGACCCTCAGAAAGGATGGACTTATTTTAAGAAAGGGCAGAAAAATTTAAATCTGAAGTCTGTAGAGTTGGGGTGAGGGGCACCATGTTTACCAGGCTACTGCAAAGGTTGCTCAGAAGACAAAGGATGGGGCGGTCCTCAGCTCTGGAACTTTTACCTGGCCCACTGCTGGATGCTGCTTAGTTCCCTTCCCCTTCCCTCGGAGCTGAGTTTACAGGACTCTGGGCTGCACCTCCACCTGTCTGCCTTCCTACCCCACAGCTCTGTCCATTTTGATACTCAGGTGACATCGTTTCGCATGTATCCTCCAGCCCAGCCTCATTTGCAGCAGAGCAGTGAGGACCAGTGGAGCCTGTTGACTGTGGGGAGAGGACATGGAGACTGGAGGAGACAGCTGGGGATTCAGTGTTGAGAACAGTGTAAAGTAAAACGAGGAGAAAGAAGCAGTGACTTCAAATGTAACTTTGAGCAGGAAGGACAAAGTGCATGTTTTAGGTCACAGTAAAAATGGGAGGCTGTGGTGGTGACTGACAGACACTCAGAAGTTGAAACAGCCTTTCTTACTTAGGTTCAGGGTGGGTGACTCTGTTGTGCACATTGTCATGCTTTGTCCCATCCTGTACTCCCTGGGTACTAGCCCCAGTCTAGTAAGAAGGGCAAAGATGACCCCTGAGAATAGAGGTTGGAAATGGTCTTTGGAAGGTTAGGAGGGGAGTCCTGATGAAGGAGTTGTGAGAATAGCTTTACTTGTCGTGGTAGACAGGGGGCGTTTCCTGTAGAGAGGAAAAGCCAGTTGATTGAGATTAAAGGCAATAAAGGAACTTCTGGAATTGACACTGTAGCCAATGTGAAATTAAGATAGCATTTTACAGGTTAGGTCAAAACGTTTGGTACTTTTTTTCTCTCCCAAGAAATTGAGACATAGAAAAATTCTTTTTTAATTTTCTGAGACAGGATTTCTCTGTGTAGCCCTGGGTAGCCTGGAAGTCATTCTGTAAATCAGGCTGCCTCTGCCTCTTGAGTACTGGGATTAAAGATGTGCACACCACCCCCTGGGTAAATTCTTGGTTACTATTGAGTATATAATAAAGTGGAAATTTTTAGCTACAGTTCTTGTGTATATCTATGTAATTATAAATACAGTGATTGGGTAGATAACATATCCCAGGACTAAGTCTGTGCCTTTGCTTTAGGTAACTGTTAATCTTGGTAATAAATATAAGGACAGAATCAAGTCTATGCTCTAGGCATGAAGTCCATAAAATTCAATTTTTATAAACTTGAAATAGATAGAATATGTAGAGTTAATTAAGGAAGTCTTTCCTGGTTTGTGTAGGTTGTATATTGTGACCTGATAACCAGAAGATACTGAGAGAAAGGAATGACAGATCTTGTTCCTATTTTAACTTTCAGGCTGAAGAACAGTTGAGAATTGTTGAAGAACAAAGAAAGATTCATGAGGAAAGGATGAAACTAGAACAAGAACGACAACGTCAACAAAAAGAAGAACAAAAAATTATCCTGGGCAAGGGGAAGTCCAGGCCAAAACTGTCCTTCTCATTAAAAACCCAGGACTGAACGGCAAACTCTGAACTTTTTACAAAGAAAAATGAAAAAAACTTCGTATTGTAGCTTCATGTTGAAGTGGTTTTTTGTTTTTGTTTGTTTATTTTTTTTTAATTGGAGAATCTGGAAAGTTAGCTTGTTCTAATAGGGGCTATGCTCTGCAATCCCTTTATTTTCCCTCTTTCCTCTATTACGTCAAATCCTTATCAGATCATTGCTGTTTTTTAGAAGTGGTGTATTTTTCACCTGTTGGGATTCTGTACTGATTGGTGGTCTGCCGTCGAGCAGGTCACGTGGTGACTAGCTGGTCTGGTAAGGTGTTCACTGACCACTGACTTCGGGGTTATACTCTGTTTACTACGTCCTAATGCTGGTGTTGCTGACTTTTTGTTTTTTTATACATTTATAAAAAAAGAAAAAGTTGGTAATTGCATTACAAAATTCCCAGGGTTGTGCTGGACCTGTGTGGTGTGTTACAGCAGTGTCCTTGTGATGCTGTGGCTCTTGGTGTTCCCGATAACAGGTAAGGATAACAGTTGGTCACCTGCTACAGAAGCACCTGCAGTGCAGTATTGTCTCTGTTGGACTTTTGTTTCTTTCATTGACGAAATCAAACCAGCATTCCCCACTGTAAATAAATGATTTTGCTGAATAAAGTAAAGTCTTAAATTCATATGTTTAAGCAATTTTTTTTTTAAGTTTTGTTAAGTCTAAAGGGTGGTTTACTTTTAGAAGCCTTAGAACTGTACTAGATTTCCCCTGGTTTATATTTTCCACAAGGTTTCTATGTCCACTAAATAAATATACTTGTGAATTAGTACTACTGACTATTTTTACAGACACTATATGCTGATAAGAGTTAAAACATCAAGTATTATCTTTGAAAAATCCTAAACCTCTGCCTCTGTTATAGAAAATAAATATTAGTGCCACAAATTATACTTAATTAACACTAGAAAGTATGTTTTTAAAATTTATAGAATATTAGGTCACTTTTAGGGTGGACTATCAGAATTTGATTTTTTTATGTTCAAAATGACTAAAATAACCTTCATTTTTGCATGTTTATTTTGGGGATGAGCACATTTAAATTAACTTGTTTTTTTGTTTTTTTTGGGGGGGTTGTTTGGGTATTCTTGCATGTGGAAACTTAGAGCTAACCCTGAATTTTATTTAGTAGAATCTGCCTCATTTAATTTTTTGATTTGTTGAAGTTTACTAGTGTTAAACACACAAGGAAAGGCTATAAAATGCTATCAGAGGTGCATAGTCATGATATAGGGAAGAACCCAGTCCCTAGAGACAGTCCTATCATAGTTTAACACTGGAAGTGTTGCCTGAGATGAAGAAATGGTAGATTATTTTGTGTTTGCATGCTGTGGAAAATCAACACGGTAAAGAAGAATGTTAAAATTTTAAGTAGGCATGAGGTGTATAGCAAGGTTTTAGTGAACAGAATGCCCCAGCACTCTAAATACATGTTTGCTTCTTTACCTGAATAGATTATGATGCATAAGTTAGCTCAAATTATTTCCTGATTACTATACTTAATTCTTTTGGTGTAACTTTTCATTATTTCCAAGGTTTGGAAGTGCTCGTCAAAAGTTGCTTCTGCTCTGCTAGTGTTCTAGGCGCTGTATCTAAAGAGGAGCCTGGGCCTCAAATACTTGATCAGCCTTTCTGTGCCTTTTATTCCGTCATTAAGTTTTGTTCTGCTCCCACAGTTGCTAAATGACACATTTCAGTGTGTGCTGCTGGAGACTCCTAGGTATTGAATTGTTCCTGTGCTTGGTAACTGATTGCTGCTGTCCGCCAGGCTGCAGGAAAGAGGATGTCATTGTTAATGATATGCACCCACCTTTGACTGTGCTACAACAATGTAGTAAATTGTTTTCTTCATTTGTTCCACTGCTTTTGTGTACATATTATAAAAGCTAAGACTTTTTTCACAATCTATTAGCAGTTCAAATGTTCCCTAATTTACTAAATATGCCTTTAATTCCCAGTTTTGTTTTCTTGAGTTATTTGAATTTTTTGATGCATTACAGAATTAACTATTGACTGTTTATTTTTACTATAGTATTTAACATTTGTAGTTAATGCCATTAATATTGTGGAGTTTGCAGAATTCTTGACTGTATAAACTAAACCTTTAAATTAGCCTGGTGTGAGGACTCTTCAATGCTTCAAGTAGGGGATGGGAACCTTAGGCAAGGACTATAGTTTCCCTTAGAATGTAGCAAATGAGCCTGTTGCTGTTCTGAATAACGATTTGGTCACCTAATTATAATAGTGTATGTTCCTAGCGTGTGGATGTGTGTGTGTCTCTGTGTGCATGCACATGTGCTGTCCTGCCTGTGTCTGTGTGGCCACCTTTCCTAGATAAGTAGGATGCTCAGTTTGTCACTTAATGAACGTTTTCCATGCTGCTGATACCTTGAGCTTCCGGTACTCAGTGGTCTCCAGTTGTGTTGTTCTCTACCAGACCCATGTGTGCATTTCGCATTACTGGCCATGAGACACTGATGGAGTCATCACCTGCTCCAGCGGGCATGCAAATACTTGATCAAGTGTTGCTGAGGGGCAAAGACGGAGAGGGGGGGCATAGGTGTTCTCCCGCAGAAGATAACTCATCTTTCCATTTGTTTGGCTGCTGTCCAACTGGTCTTTGTGTCCCTTGCGTCTGGGAGGTGTGTTGATGGTTTAGAGGTGAGTTGTGAGTGACCCTGGCACCCTAATGTTGGCTGCCTTGGCTAATGCACAGCACCATGTGTTCTGTAGCTAGTCGCCACTTGCTTGGCATGATTGGGATGCTCTTCCTCTTGTGTGGTGTACAATGAGGTTATGGTTACTAGAGGAGGTGATTTGTGAACCAGCACCAGCTGGGCAGAGAACAGAGGATTCAAGGTATGATGAGAGCACTCCCCCCACCCTGCCCCATTCTTTTTTAAACACCAGTGTGTGTTTTTTGTGTATTAGAGTGCTCTGCAAATTAGAGACATACATTTTATACTCCAGTCATTGTTGGATTGATACAGTTTGAAAAGAGCATTGTTCTTTCCCCGGTCCTCAGATCGGTGATTGGAGGATGTGGGAATGATGGTATTTTTCATACTTAAAAAACTTGAGTGAAACCAGCAAATTAGCAGTGCATGTTGATGACAAGTTTCACACAGCCAGGTTAAACGTGTTAGTGCCTGCCATGTTAGAACGAGAGTCCTCACTGCACATGTATGAGTGGTCATGGTTCTCATTTCTTAGCCCATTAATGGCCCTTTGCTTTGGTTAATTGACAGATAGGACTGAAGAAGTATGGAACTGGTTTGTCATAGTTTCTCTTATTGGGCCTTTTGTAAGAAGGGCAGAAGGGTTTGTGAGCTCAAAGTAGAGGCTCCCTTTATTTCCTTGCTACTTGCCTCAATGAGTCCAGACTTGTAATTACAAACAGTGACACTTGGCTTCATGTTCTTAACCAAATATAATGATCAGTTCACAAAGTAGAGACCTTGTATAAAGTAAGACCAGCTATGTATTTCTTTGTCCACCATAACACCTGACACAGTTTGATTGATGAACTGTCGATGGGCCTTCAGACCACTCAGTTCACCTTAGGAAACAGGATTCATTTCAGCATCTGCAGGTTGTGTTATTTCCTCTCCAAAAAAAGAGGCAGTGATTAAGAGCCTTCATTGTGGTCAAAACAGTTTAGCATTGGGTGTAAGGCCTAACTAATGTAAGGTGTATTTTTGCTGGCTTATAGATTGGCCTTTCAGAAACTCAGTGTTGCTGCCTCCAAGAAATCATTTATATTCATTTTTATAATAGATTGTCTTAAGAAACTTCCTTAGCTACAGAAATCAGTAACTTCCTCTGCTGAAGTACTTGTCCTTTGGCATAGAGTTGTGTCCTGTTTTCAAAACAAACCCAGAATTTATTTGTAATGAGGTTCCAGGCAGGGGCATTAATTACACGGATTGGTATGGCCATGCTTTACAATTTCTATAATTATCTTTTGTACATAACCCCATCACATTTTTTGTCTGGGATTATGATAGGTGTACCAATAGATAAGAATGGCTTGAGGTTACATTTTAATTTTCAAAGTGACTGGATAAACAGTTGAGGACCAGAATGTTAAGTTTGCGATTACTGCCTTTGTTATCACAGGTGTCTGCTCATTGAAGGTAACGGTGGGAAGTCACACTAGGAATATTTCTCTGCGATTTTTTAAAAGTATATTTACATTGTTCTCAAGGTGAAAAGCTTCTGGGTGTCAATATCTGGCTTACTGAAAATGGTATTTTTGGAAACTGGGATATTTTCAGACATTACAAATTTCCTTTCTTTAGTTTACCAGAGAGGATGTAAGGGGAGCTAAGAGATCACAACTTAAATTTCATAACACATACTGAACATTCCTTCAAACCATGACTTAAAACGTTAACTTCACATTAGATTTCTATGAATTCCTTAAGTAAAATCTTTTAAAATAGGTGCTTTTTTGTTTTTTTTTTTTTTCCTGTAAAGTTCAAGTAGCCTTGCTGCCAGTTTTTTGGGAATCATCATGAAGTTAAAAAACAATTATTCCCAGGGCTGGCTGTGTGTGTGTGTGTGTGTGTCCCTTGACAGTGGGAGTGTGTGTGTCTCTCTAGACAGCAGGAGTTGGGGGGGGGCGGGTGTGCGCGCGCGATTTGCCTATCTGGAGTCCCTCCGTTCAGACTTCAATACCTCACCCTCAGTCACAACTTTGCAGGCTTACATAAAAATAGTAACTACTAAAAAGGCTTTCTTAAAACTGGGGGAGTGAGCCCATTCCATAGTGAGTGCTCTAGTGTTTTGGTCTTAAGATTTTAGTTTTTTCAAACCAACTCTAATACACATTAAATTAAGACTTGAAAGTCAGCACCTTTTAAAAAATTCCGAATTTGTTACAAAGAATGATGAAGGGGGGTTGCTAGACAGTAACAAAACCATGTTTACTTTTTTTAATATTTAACTGGGAATTCTGTTAAAATAGGTGTGAAGACTGCCTGGTTCCGTTTGAACAGACAGCATTTAAGAGCACGCGGTTGATTTTTGTCGAACAGGGGACTGTCCATGGGACTGTGTGCCTTTTGCCCACCTTGCTGTCCCTGTGGTGGGGCGCGTTAAGCAAGTGTTTTTGAGTTGGGACTATCTCATCCATTTCTTAGATTCTGGCCGAGTAGTGGGTAGGCTTGTTCTTAAATACATAGGGGCAAAAGTGAGCGCTAGTGGGCGCTGTGGATCCATGGAAGTCACAGACAGGTTTTTCAAACCGGTCTTGGGCAAGCACGGCTCAAAGAACTGCCACCACTTCTGCTCTGACTGATAGTCATCCGGGTCACCCCTAACTTCCCGGCCACTGTGGGGTCGAGGGGTCTCTCGGGACCTAGTGAAGGAAAACCCACTCAGATGTCAGCAATGGAGCTTTGGGTGGCGGGAAGCGGGGAGCATCCAGGAGAGAGGGCCGGAAATGGGGAGCGGGCCAACGCAGACAGGCGCGGGACGCAAAGAGTGGAGCGCGGGGTCGAGGTGGGCGGCTGACGGCTAGCACTGCCTAACCTAGCCGGTGGGCCGCGAAGGTTCGCGCTGCCTCGCCACAGTCAGTTTGAACTTGTGTCGAGCCGGGCCGATGACTTGGTGCCTGAATCA